AGCTGGACTTTCTGCTCGCCTGGGTGGAAACCATTAATTGCTACCCCATTTTTTTATTTTTATTGTTTAGTTTTTGAAGTGATATTTAGACTCCACCCCACTCCACAGGCTTTCTGTGAAGTGCATCATGCACAGGTCATTTGCACTGCCAGCATATCTGCGAGGCACTTTTGTGCACATTTCCCTTTGCCACCAATAAAGCTCTCTTCTCATGGTACAGTGAGGGACAGGGCTCTTCGTACCCAGTTAAAATAAGACAAAACAACAAACTCATGCCTGGACAGCATTTTAGTATTTTGTCTGTATGGCACATAATATTAATTCAGGATCATGCAATAGTCTGCTGAGGCATTGTTATCCCTGTTGGCATCCTCATTGGCTTTTTGCTTGAGAGCAAGACTTTGTGCCTTCAGCTCAAGCTCAGATGCCACTTGCTATACTTTGGAAGGCATCTTAGCTTCGCAGTGCTCATCTCTTACTGGTAATATTAGCCCTGCTAGCACTCACTGGGCTTGATGGGGTTTGCTGGTGGAATGGGAGGTTGGTAGGTGGACTTGCATGACAAAAAGGAGGCTGGAGGAAGGCAGAGATTGATTTCATGTTTGCAGCCACTGTCCTTAGCTCACCTTCAGCTTTTTCTGCAGTTCAGTGTAGCACATGAAATGGGCAACATGGAGCTGTAGGGTCTGGGGAACTTGGTAGATCTTTCAACCTCTAGCAGCTCTGGAGCTCACAGAGCTACATGCTGTCTACATGCTGAGACATGAGTCCATCTGAGAGGCATGGGACTGCTTGGGAAAGGCCACAGTGGAGTTGTCAGTGCTCCCATTTGCAGCAGCTGCCTTGTGCTGGCTGGAGAGGAGTAGGAACATGACAGCAATGCCTAACCCACCCTTTGGATGTCACATCCAAGCAGATCCTTCCTTCTCATCAAAGACTTCAGGAGGGACATGCCTCCCAACAACAATTGCGTTCTCCATTTCCCACAGTCCCAGCTCTGTCATCTTCTCCCCTCTGCTTCTCCTTCTGCAACACCTGCAAGAGTCCAATACTCAAGCTGCTCTGACCACTCCTAGCTGTAGCCCTCAGAAACATGAAAACACCATTCCCCTTGGGCTCCAGGTGCTGTGAACCAGGTGGGCAGAGCCCACCAGCCCAAGGATGGCCCCCAGGGCAGCAGGCAGAGGGTGCTGCTCCAGCAGCTGAGCTCCTTTGGGTAGTGAGGCAAGACAGAACAGATCATTCAGCTTATCCTCTTGCCTTACACACTGTCATCAGGTTTGTCTGGAAGCGAGCCCATCTCCAGTTGTTGTCTGGATGGCGTTTCCAGCTGGGGCTCCTCGCACATCTGTTTGTGCGGTTTTGGATGGAGCCCAGATAACATTTCTCCAGGCGTTTGCTGATTAGTTTTCAGCTGGGGGAAAAAAAAAAAAGTGTGTGAGCACTTGTTTGCAGACATAACATAATTACAGGCTGCTAAGTTCCCTGTACACTGCAGAGGTACCTGCAGGGGATAGGGGTCTGGCACAAGGCCAGCCTGCTCCTGGCAGCATCCCAGCACACATAGGAACAGGGAAACTGGCTAGCTAGGAAGAGGACTGGGGAGGGACATCTTTTTTTCCTATTTCTTATTATTATTACTATTTTTTTTTTTTTTAATTTTTTGTTTATTTTCTCTTTGGCAGAACACAGAGTTCCCAGCCACAGGTTAAGGCACCGAGTGGGTGCCACTGCTCCCAGCACATCTTTCACCCGGTGTGTGGAGAAAACAACGTGGAGTACATCTCACCCTGCTTTGCTGGCTGCACCAACAGCAGCACTGACTCCTCAGCTCCCACACAGGTGGTGAGTAGTGGGAGCAGGATGTGGCCACCAAGCTGAGCTGTTGTGGCCATGCCAAGAACCAAAGAATTTCCAGAAGGTTTGAGGTTTTGCTATGAGTGCACCTTGCTTGTTGTCACAGTGAAGACTAGCAGTGCTGTAGGAATTTGGATGCAGTAGAGCCGTTTAGATATTTGAATTATTCTTTAAGGAACTAAGAGAGACCTCTTGATCAACTGCTCTTGTTGACTTAGGACAAGGGATAATGGCTTTAAACTAAAAGAGGGGAAATTTAGGTTGGATGTGAGGGAGAAATTCTTTACACAGAAAGGGTGAGGCCCTGGCACTGTCGTCCAGAGAAGTGTGGGTGCCCCATCTCTGGAGATGCTCAGACTGGGCTGGATGTGGTCTGGGCACCTGAGCTGGTGGGGAGCAGCCAGCCCATGGTAGGGGTGGGACAAGGTGTTAACCCTTCTAGATCTGTCACTTCCGAACAGAGAAGGTCTTGGGCATGAGGTGGTGATTAGTGGTCATTTTGGCCATAGTGACCATGAGGTAGTCAAATTTAAAATGAAGAAAGCTGCTACAAAACCTCAACCCTGGTCATGTGAGAGCAGATATTAGGCTGCTCAGGAAACTAGAGTTAGTAAGATCTCCTAGGAAAATTGCTTTTGAGCAGGAAGGCTTGGATCTACCTGAAGGGTAGGCAGGCCCTACCTTGACTGGAAAGCCCTGGGTAGGGAATGGTGGCATGTCCCCTTGCAGGAGGTCAGGACACCCAACAGGATGCCATAGCCATATCATTGGAGCTGATGCTTCCATCGCTCCTTTATCAAGTGGCGTGGTGACATAGAACCACAGAATCATTAAGGGTGGAAAGACCATTAAGATCATCAGGTCAAACCCCAACCTATGCCTGTGCCCGTTCCAGACCACGTCCCTCACTGTGGCGTCTACCCTTTTCTTGAACACCACCAGGGACAATGACTCTACCACCCCCTTGGGAGCCTATGCCAGGGTTCCACCCCTCTCACAGCATGACTAGGGGAGTTTTACATGTTTGTTTGTTTGTTTTCAAATGTTTCCAACAGATCTACAGGAACTGTTCCCAGATCTCTGCTGGTAGTGGGCTGTCCTCTGCCAAGACGGGCTCCTGTCCACTCAGCTGCTCCCACATGCTCCTCCCTGTCATCTTCCTCATCTCCTTCGCTGCCCTGGTGGCCTGCTTGTGTCACAACCCCCTCTACATGATGGTGCTACGGTGAGCAGTGGGCAGGGGAGTTTGTGGGGCGACAAATTTCAGCTACGTAAGGATCTGAGAACAGTTGTTCACCATTTGATCAAGTTTTGCAGGTTTCTCTTTCATCAGTAACAGGAGGGTCTCAATAAGCAGGAACCCCCTTGTTTTAATGCTTTGAGTGCTCTTGCTGAAGAGCAACCCCTTCCTCCACACCCCTGGCTATGAAATACGGCAATTCCCTAAACAGTAGAACGTTTCCTATTTCAGCAATTCCTATTTCAGCTCTTCCTTACAGTTTATATCAGGTAGAATGGAGTACAACCTCAATTAAGAACAAAACCCTCTGCTGTAGCATCCCCACAAATTTTCATCCCGGCAGCTCTCTGGGCTCCTCCTAATCCCCACGGGGTCATTCAACCACTGTTCTCCATTCCAAACTGGAAGAAGGGGGGAGAAACCAGGTCCATGGCTATGAACCTGACAGTGAAACCGGAAGAGCACTGTTGCCATCAGCTCTGACCTCACCTGGCTTCTCCCTTGCAGGGTGGTGAACCAGGATGAGAAGTCATTTGCCATTGGCGTCCAATTCTTGCTGATGAGGTTGCTGGGTGAGTGACTGCCTCCTGATGAGGCTGGGGGGTGACAGGGCACTCTGAAGCTTGCTAGAGGCACAGGAGGCCTGTGACCTCCTTGGAGGCAGCAGGTGAAGCTGGCAGGAAGGGCAGAGAGCCTGACCCAGCCCTCTCTTCTCCAAAGCCTGGCTGCCGGCTCCAGCCATGTTTGGTGCCCTCATCGACTCCTCCTGCATCTACTGGCAGAAACAGTGCTCACAGCGTCGCTTCTGTGCCTACTACAACAACGACTTCCTTCGCAACAGGTACCTGGCCTCAGCTGTGGCACCCAGAGCTGCCATGGGGACAAGTCCCCAAAGCTGACCTCTGGAGCCACCTCCGGGTAGAGCATCTCCCTCATCTTCTCTTCACAGATACCTGGGGCTGCAGGTGGGGTACAAAGTGGTGGGCACCATCCTCCTTGCCCTCATTGGCTGGAAGGTGAAGAGGAGCAAGGAGTACAACGTGCAGGAGAAAGCGGCCGGCCTGGTGTAACTGCACAAAGACTGACTGCACTTCATTCCCCACCACCAGCACTTTGCCTTTTGGGGAGTCTGGTCGATTTCTCACTCTTTTGTAATGGAGCAACTTCAACATAGCAGCTCCTCACTCCTCTCATGACAACCCAGCCTGGGGAGAGAGCATCTTTGTGATCCCAGCGAAGGACAATCCCCATTGGTCCCATCTTTGGATGCAGCCCTGGATACATTGGGGACCAGCTCCTCCAGGTGGGTCATCCAAGACTCACCCATTGCTTTGCACTCCCAGGAAGCAGATGGAGGCTGTGTTCCAGCCTGGACCCACATACACAGATGCAAGCAATGGTCCTGCTCTACTGTGCCTTTTCCAGCCAGGTGTTGCCCTCCAGCCAGGATAGGAGCAAGCAAGATTGCTGCCACGTCCTGGTGGCCTCCCTGTCTGCCCCTGCCCATCCCTCTTGTACAGGTCAGCACGGACATGAAAAGTCAGCACTTGTGGTTTAGTACAGAACATTTTGGAAAGGGTTTGACTGTTGTGGTTGTTTGCTTTTTTTTTTTAAATAAAGGTCAATTTTCCATGTGGTGCGTCGGTCACCCCCATCCTGTTCAGAGCTATCCCTATGGGCAGGCACAGGGGAACATCCCTGCCACAATGATGGGATAGAACTGAGTTGGGGGAATAGAGCTGGGTCTGGAAGGCTGAACTGGGCCTGGGTGATGAAGGGAAGCTGCAACAAGACAGGGTGGGGAAGGATGGAGCCATGCAGGGAAGCTCAGCATTGCCCTGTGACCCTAACACTGCTAAGCAGAGTCAACGCAGAGGGCAATAGGGAATGACCAAACCAAGACTTGAGAAGAAACATTCTGTCAAATGCTTTATTACAGAAATATTTTTCAAAAAGAATAACTTAAAACCAAACAGGGCCTCATGCTACTTTATCCCACCAGATGGCGATGCTCAGTCTCTGCTTTCAGAGAAGGTAGCAAGCAGAACTAGCACTCAAGCAAACAGCAATATTCTCCAGCAAAGGGAGTTGAAGCACAACAAACACACTTCAGCAATGCATTGGCTGCAGCAAATACCAAAATGTAACACACTCCCTAAGTACAATCCTCCCCCCTTCCTATGTGGAACAGCACATCTCCCAGGTTATCGTTAGAGCTCCACTATGAGCACAGGTCTTTGCTCAAGCCTGTTTTTGTTCCTCCCATCAGTACTAACATTTGGCAATACTACAAGGAGTCAGAGGATGCCCAGAAAGAAAGGAAAAGAACATAAAAAGGAAAAGAACATAACAGAGCAGACGAGCCATTAAAAAAAGCACTAAATGAGAGAGAAACCCACAAAAGACAGAAAAGGTCCATTGGGAGCCATAAGCTTGCTCCTTGTCTAGAACTAAACAGGAAATAATAAAACGAGAGGAAAAACTTCAATGCAGTAAGACCTTGCAATTCCCAGCACTGAATCCTGGAGACCAACCCTCCTCACAGAGATGTGTGGAGCCAGCATCCCACCAGAGCATCATGCTGCTGGGCAGGGCAACTGACAAGTGTCTTAAGGTTGCTGTTCAGAAAGGAAAAACTGAAGCATGGGGTCTCATTTCCCACCTGACCAATACAGATGCTTCTGCAAGTTCTCCCTTCACATAACCAACGTTCCCAGCTACAGCAAAGAAACAGGAAAGCAAAGGATCTTTGGAAAGTTCAGGTCTAAGGCACACCGAGTCAGACTCCGCTCCAAGTCCCAGAGCAGCCAGCTGAGCCTCTCCAGGAGCTACAGCAACAGGCATTCCCTGAAGATTAACTGATGAGATCACCCACAGCAGCAGATTTGGCTTTAATCACCTCAAACAAACAGGGGAAAGATCACAGGATCTTCTCCACCGAGCATCTTCCACATAAGGAAGAATCATGCTCACGATAATGTGCTATCAGCTCACCTTTCTCTATTCATTTTGCTGCAACTGCTGTGATGAAAAACACAAAATGGTCTCTTTATCATAGACACTGGAGAGGAGACAGGCAGGAGACACAACAAGCATGACAAATCTGACTCCTACCATACACATGAATCCAAAAATATGCCACTTTCATTGGTTCAAGCAAGGACCATTCTGTAACTGTCATTTAAAGGGAGTGTGCTTACAAAGTCTGTTGGAGAAGAGCCTGAAATACAGGAAGAGGAACAGAGTGAAACAAGCTTTCAAGACACAGCCCTGACAGAAAGAAAAACTCCCAAGAACTGTCCAGCAGAAGTAATCAACCAAAGACCCAGGCACCACAGGCACTGCACAGTGACAAAGGCAGATCAAACAGCTTGCCTTTGAAATTCAACAAGTTACTCCAGGTACACAGAAACTGGACTACACCAATCTGGAAAAATAAGGAGATAGAAGACAAGAGGACAACAGCCTTTTATATTCACCCTAGTGATTACACTGTGGAGAGAATCTGTGCACACTGTCGGGGCAGCACGAAGCTGCAGAAAGAAGTCAAAATCAGGAGGTGATCAGTCACTCCACGAAGCGACAGCAATGCAATGCTAAAACAAAGCAGAAAAGGACAAACTACAGGTTCACATGGCAGTGTGTTCCTTCCTAAGTTGCCTGGCAGCTGGATGATGAAAAACGCAAAAGATTTCAAGGAAATACAGAAGCCACAGCAGGATCAGCAACACAGAATAAAAAGTAGAGAAGAAAAATGTGGTGTTGTGACAGAGACAGCAGAAATCACACCAGTAATTGTTACATGCTCCCAAGCAGAGAAAGACAACGCAATGCTTTTCCAGCTTTCAGTTTCCCCTATGGTAAGATCCAAGTACTTCACACCATCTATTTTCTTTCACTCCCCCACTCCTCAGGTCTCTCCCTCTCACCCTGCCCTCCTCTGTTCAGGCAATCTTGGCCAGCCATTTCTCAAGGCCCTCAAAGTCAGCATCTCCCTCCTCTCCCTTGCTGCCACGAGCGCTGCACTCCACAAACTCCACCTTCATGGGCAGCTGAGAGAAGTCAAAGTCCTTGCCCTTCTTCCCCAGCTGAGCAGGGCCCCCAGTCCCTGAGGCATCCAGACTGGTGGGGGCTGCAGAGCGGGTCACTCGTAAGGTGTTGCTGCAGAAAGAGAAAAGAGAAGATCAGGAACTGTGAAATAATGACAACCTACATCATAACCAGAGACGCTTTGGTTTTAGCTGTCAGCAGAACATCAGCAACACCAGGGACAGAAGGCCCCAGAAGCACACCCATGTCTCTGCCCCATGAGGCACAGGCAGGGACAGGCACTTTGTCCATTGTAAACAGCTGCTGCAAGGCACAACTGAGAGAGGCTCAAGAGAGAAAGACAGATCACGGGTTTGGTGAAGGAAGCAGAACTTCTAAACAGGCAAAGGCACTTCCCATTGGCAGGGAATGAACCCAGACTGTGAGAGCTGCTTGTCTAACTGAAGGTGCCTAAAGCTAAAAGGATGCTTGGCTCACAGTGCTCAAATCTGCACTGTTTTTTGACAGGCTAACTGGGAAAACAGGCACCTATGACATAAGGGATCATGCAGATCTTCACCCCATAGCCACCTAAACGTGCCAAATATTTCTGGAGACTGAGAGGTGGATCCAGCCTCCCCAGTGCTCCAGCAAACAGTGCCTGACCAATGACCCCAGGCTGCAACACTGCTGTTGTTCCTGCCCTTCATCCTGTGGCAGATCTCAGCAACCTGCTACCCATACAGAGGCGAAACTTCACTGCTCACACTCAGACACCCTGCTCCCACAAAGTACAAACTAGAGGCAGCATGGGGACAAACAACAGCCTGAAAAGGGTAGTGAGGCACTGCAGTTGGATGGCTTTTGTCAAGCTGCATCAGGCACAGATACAAACAACAGATACAAACAAACTACCCAGGGCTTTGTCTTGCAGAAAGGAAGGTGGGTACTCAGCAGTGAAAACGCAACAGTACAAATCACCCTGCTGCCACCCACTGGCCAAAGAGGCTAGCAACAAGACAGCTGAGGAACGCTCGTTGGACACCAAAGAGCTGCAGGCACCACAGGGCACTGATTCTCCACACCACAGCTTCAAGGAAGCAATATCTTTTTTGTCAATTACTAGATCTTAGTGCTTTAGCAGTGACAGTCTTCCCTCACCCTGATTACACCTCCACAAACAAAACAGACTTCTCTTTATATTCAGTGAACACAGATATGCTCAAAGGACTCACTAAACACAGGCAGAAGAGACAGAAAGGAGAAGGAGACAGAAAGGACAGAAGCTCAGAGGATGATTTAAGATCCAGTCTCACACTTACAGCTCTTTCTCCAGCTGCTGTTGAATAAGTTTTGCAGATTTTGCCATTGTGATATCTAGAGAGAAAACAGAAAAGGAAATAATTGGCTCTTTGGTATTGTGTCAGAATCTGCTTCCTGCTCCTAAAGGTACAGCTAGGCTTGATCATATCATGCTGTCATAAGACTTAATGGGACAACAGCAGTAGTGTCTGTGCTAGAATAAGGGACAGAAGAGCTTTAGATCTGTTGGTAGGAACAAGAGCAATCCCAGGACCTGATTTAAGGCAGGGAATTAATTTCTTTTCATCGTCAGGAAACAGGGAAGTAAATCACTTCAAACAAGGCCCAGCACGCTCACCTGTCCTGGCATTGCACAGCTCAGCACAGTGCTTTCTAGAACTCCAAAGTCCCAAGACAGTCCTATGATACTGCAAGGAAAAGCTAGAAAAGCAAACATGGCACTAGCAGAAAGTTTCAAACCGTCCTGCAGGGATCCACATCTCTGCAGGAAAAGCTGTAGAGACTGGGCTCTTAAGCCTGTCTAAAGAGCCTTAGCTCTTTAAGTGGTGTTTTTCTGCAATGCTGTTTGACCTCTGACCGAAGAATTCTTCCAATCACTGCTAGAAATGTTCTTGCTGAGCAGCCTGAGTCTACACAACTAATTGTCTGCCTTCGTTTTGCTGAAATCCTGACCCCTAGGAAATTCACCATGCGTGGTGTAACAATATAACGTGACAGAAAACACAGCAATGACAGCAGGGTAGCAGAGTCTCGTGCTTCTGCAAGTGAAGATAAGATGAACTGCAGCAGCTGCAGATACAGAAACAAAGAAAAAAAGCTGCTTACCTTCAGAAGGCCCCAGGCAGGCAGGGCTCTCCAATGAAATACCCTCACCTCCTACTACACCAACCCTAAACGAGGTCTGGAGGGGGTGGATCCTGGTTCCATCAGGATTACATTGCATTGCATTCCTGAGGTCCCCTCAGGAAGGCCCTGCCTTCCACCAGGTGCTCCATCACCGCTTCAGGCTGTGACTTAGCATTTCTGCCACACAGGGCATTAACCCTAATAATCACTGGAGGACCGAATCACCACTTCCACCTTCAGGGCAGTGCCCAGTACCTTGTTTATTGCAAGCGATGAGCAGCGCAGGTGCATTTTTGAGAACAGTGCTGTCAACCAGGACCTGGTACAGGAACTCAGCCACATCCTTCACCTCCCTCTGGAAGGCTACGCTGTCAACCACAAACACGATGGCCCTGAGAAAAAGAACACGTGTAAGACATGAACCTCTGTAACACAAAAAGCAGGTTAGCACGTGGGGACTGAAATACATCTTGTATTGATATCCAGCAGGAAACCTGTTCCTTTCTGTCCCAAGGACATACTACACATCCCAAGCCGCCCCAGTGCATTACCTCCATACCTTACCTCCCCTACCTTACTAGGAAGCAGGCAATCAGAATGCTGTGCCCCAGCAATACACGGCAGTGCTCTGACTCCCTGGGCACACAGAGCAGAACCCCCACCTGGCTCACTGCACCCTCACGCGTCCCACCCCTGGTACTAACACCACCTGGCCCCACCACCACCTCACCTGGCTGCAGCCTTGAACCTCTCCAAGAATTGAAGCCGCAAGCTTTCGTGGCCTGGGAGATCGATTAAAGTCACATTAGTGCTCTAGAAACAGAAAAGAGGGCTGTTAGCAACACTTACACCAGGAATCACGGCAATCACACCCTGCAGAAAACCAGTCTGGGAGCAGATTCCAGTTGTGCTTCTGCCCTGGCACAAGCTGAGTGAACCCCACACTGGACAGAAGCGTGTAACCCACCCCAGGATGCAGCCTGCCCACCACCCCCAAAAATTCTGACAGGCAAAAGAAATTGCAGAGGAACAACACTCATGGCCAGGACTTTGCAAGGACAGCCAACACCAGCAAATCATGCAGCAGAGCTGACAGAATAGAGCATAGTCACAGAGAAAAGAGCATGCTCAGCACACTTTTCTCCTCCCCATGGCTACCAACCACATCACACTGTGAGTGGCAGATCTTTGTGAGCTCCTTGGTCACTACACCAGCAGATTTACTCTGTCTCTGTTAGCAAGCGTATCTCTGCACAGCAAAATCACAGACTCCTGTTCTGCAAATCCCTGACGCAGAATGATAACCCCACAATCTCTGAATGTGAATTTATCTGAATTTAAGCTGCAAATCAACCTAAATACTCAAAACTTTGCTGAAAATAACACAAGAACAGCCTTGCAAGATGCTCTCTGAATCGAAAACAGTAAATATTTCCCTTTCCATAGGCAACTAGACAGACAAAACAGTGACATTAAAGAGTACAAGTGCCTCTCACAGGTTCCTAGTCAAGATGTAGCCACTGAGGGCCACATCAGCATTCTCAGGATAACACCTGCTGTTACTCAGGGGGAAGAGAATGTTCTGTAAGGCCCTGTCTTCTGGGCTGCTTTTGTGTTTCAAAAGAAATTTTCAATCAGAAAAGCAGCAGCCTGTCACAGCATCCCAGCAATTCTCCCTCAAAATATCTCCTGTCTGCTAAGTCCCAGAGACACTAAAAAAGAACTGCAGACCTTCTGACTGTTTTTAATCTCTTGCTATAACTGTTGTTAATAAAGATCACCAGAGAAAAGGCAGAAAAGCATCCTCTACTTTTACAATTCACCAGCAGACACCATGCTGCCACCTCGTGCTTCACTGCCACGTGTGCACCCGGCAAGAAACAGAAATGCTTCTGAAACTAAAATGATTGCCACAAACCAAAAATAAACCAGGGTCTGAAAGTAACCAAACCCGTGGGGACCAAATGAACTCTGCTGGAGGCTCTTTCCTTCACAAACCTACTTTCTACTCCACATCAGACCCTCTCCTTCTGCACTAACAGAAAGCTGTACCACAGGGGCCGAGCAAGGGCTGCTTCCCAGCTGGGAGCCTGCAAAGCACAAGAGACATAAGCGCAGCTCGGCACTGGGAGCCCCAGCACAGAACGCCGGTGGCATCCAACACCTGAAGCACTGCGCAGCGCTGCGGCTGCCTGCTCACCTTGTCGCTGCTCACTCTGTAAACGGCAGAGCTGTCGGTTATGGAGGTCTGCGTATCTCGATATTTGCCTGTCAAGAGCTGCACAGGGGAAAACAATACCAGCAATAAAGCCAACCGTTTGCACACTGAGGGTCGTGAACGCAGCACGCGGCCGAACCGAGCGCTCACCCGGGCGAACAGCAGCGTCTTTCCCGCGTCGCAGAGGCCCAGCAGCAGCACGGCCCTGCGGCTGCTCCTTGCGCCTTGCGCGAGCCTCCAGAGCACTGCGGGAGAGAGGAGAAAGCGCCTGAGCCCCCGCCGCCTCCCGCTGCCGCCTTTCCCCGGCCGGGCTCGCCCCGGGCCGCGACTCACGGAGCGTGAGGGCGACGACGATCAGGGCAAGAAGGACGGAGAGAGCGGCAGGGCCGGGCGACTGCAGTTCCCGCCGCAGCGAGTCCAAGTACGGCTCCACGGCACCCGCCATGACCGCCCGCACGCACACGTCCCCACTGCGCGGCTTCCGGCCGCGCCACACTACTTCCGGTTTCACAAGCCACTTCCGGTCTCTCCCCGTGTCGCTGCGCCGCGGGGTCTGCTGGGAGTTGTAGTCCGTCAGGAAAAGGGGCAAGGATGGAAGGCTGTCCGAAAGCAGCCAGCGTTTGTTGGTTTGTTCGGCCCGGAGCGCGGGAGCCGAGCGGAGCCGTCGTGGCGGCTGCAGCTCCTCACGGGGAGCGGATGGGCAGCGCCGAGCTGTGCGCTGAGGGAACGGCGTGGGGCTGCGTTGGGGAGGGGCGGCTGGGGGCAGGGAGAGGTTGTGCAGCACGGGGCGGTGGGCACGGCGCAGCTCCAGCGGCCCTGGTGCCAGAGCTCAGGGAGTGCTGGGACACCGCCGTGAGACATCGGGTTTGGGTGGTGCTGCGTGGGGCCGCGGGTTGGCCTCAGTCATCCTTGCGAGTTCAATCTGCGACTCTCCTCAACAATACATGCTGCTTTTTGAGAGTACTGCTTGGTGGAAATAACTGCTGCTGCGCCATTCCTGTCCCGCCAGTTGAGAGATGAGGTGGCGTGACTTCCATTCACACTTTCCACTATATTTTTGTGGGCTTTTTGTTGTTGTTTATCTTTTCCACCCTTCAGCTGCCCTCATATAAACACCCTCTCTCTTCCCCATATGCCCTCAGTGGGCAGCTGTTGACCGCTGGGGAGACACTGGGATAATCTAGGTGAAACCAAAGCACAGGTAATACAAAACATCTGTTAATTAGGATCTAGGGCATATTTAATCCATTTTGCTTTGGAAAATATTGAACGGGATTTCTCTCATGGGCAGCAGGAACCTCAAATGGCAGTAGCCAAGTTGGTGCCTGGCACTGGCCTGCAGCAAGGGGTGCTGGGGAAGGAGCGTGCTTAATGACTCTTGAAAAATCTCAGGAAACCCATGTAGATGTTGAGATTTTATTTCTTGCTGTGGCAGTAGCAAAGAAGCCACATTCAGAGTGATGAGGATGGGCAGAGGAAGCAGCAATGGCAGAGGGCCCTCTGTACATCAGTGTTCCGCGCAGAGGACATGAGAGGAGTCATGGCACGAAGTTTCCTCCCCCTTCAAAAAGGGCCCTTCTCTCCCGTTACTTGTTCTGAAGGAAGGTGCACACCTGGAGGAGATCTGAAAAGGAAAAGGACAGGGAGAAGTTCAGACCTTGCACTGAAACAGAAAACACAACACACTCCTGTCCCACCAGCACGCACCCAACCACGCCAACATTGTCACAGCATGGGAAACATGTCCAGCATCCCACCAGACGTGGGCCTTAACCACAGATGACACTGAGTGCACCCTAACAGGACACAGTGGGCTGTTATACTACTTCTCAGATTGCCTGTTTTCTAAAGGCAAGAAAAATCTTTCATTCTCATTCATGCCAGAGTAACACATTTCCAACCTGGCTTCAGTTAGCTCAAGAAACTCTGAGAAAAGTATAAAGACAGCTTCATGTGTTATCCTCTTTTTTTCTATTAAGAAATTAAATGGGCAGCAACAGGAGTTAACTGTTCATATCTCTGAAACTAAGCACTGCAATTAAGTGACATTTTTTTGAGGCTGTTACATTTACCTGATGGGTTGCAGGTATTGAGGCTGGAAATCCCTTCATAGTATTTATCTCCGAGGAACTCCTTGTATGTCACTCCTGGGCGGAGTTTCATCAGGCACTTGGTTAAGTCTTTAAACAGAAGATCTTTGGTTTGAGACTCAAACATCATGAACTTGCTTTTCTCACTTCCATTTACTCCAAACCGTTCCTGAAATAAAGTCACAAAGAGGTAAGCGTATGTAAAAAGTAGAAACAAAGCAAGATTCGGCTTGTACAAGCCTCTCAGTAGCAGTTCTTCACCATGATGACCACTGTCATGGGGAGCCGTTCTACCTGCCTGTAGGGGGGGGTTCAGGAGGGATGGAGGAAGGGGAAGCTTAAGGGATGAGGCTCTGACCCTGTATCGGCAAGTCAGAATCTTCCACATTTTGCTGACGTGAAATGCAGAGCATCACTGCTCTAAAAATATCAACACACGATGTAAAAACCACCCCAGAACATTCCTTCCGCTGTCAGGACCACCAACCTCCTGTCTCTCCAGCAGCTCACTGATTTTCTTTGCTTTCTCTGGGCGCACGACCACAGCGTGGGTCGGAACTTCAGCCAGGTTGCACTCCCTGTAATCCATAACATTTGCCCGTCTCCCATCAGTGCACAGCAACTCAAAGTCGTCCATCTGCAGATCCTTGGCCCACTCAGCTTTGTTTTTGCCTATGAAGGGAATTCATTTGGAGGTTCAGAGATCTTGTGTAGCAGAAGCACACTGACAGCAACCAGCAAAGTGTTTGTCCCCGCACTGGTGTGCACTGACCCTTGGATACCCTGTGTGTACTGAAAGGGATGCAAGTAAAACTCAGGAACAGTCAATGGGCAGGGGGCTGTGGTTAATAGGCCACTGGAATAAATGTATATCCAAAATGAATGCTTTGGGAACAGAAAGAACGCAGATCGGGGCAGGCAGCCCACCAAGCCCCATGCAATAGGACAACCACGTACCACCAGTGTTCTCCTCCACAATGGAATGCTTGATAAAGGCCACATCACCCCTCTCAACCAGACACCTGCAGAGTACAGAGAGAGGAGGTGCACATTTCAGTAGCCATGCAAGCTTGCATCACAGTGACTCCACCCCTGCAGCATCTCTCCGCTATTATATGCAACTGAAACGAGATTAATTGCCTTTCTAAATTCATGCCCAATCCGAATTACCCAGACTTGAGCTGTAACTGTGTCGGACAGAACAGAACCAGGAGACAGAACCACAGCTGACCCTTCTGGCCCCTTCTGTTTTTAGGGGGCTGAGCACTACCTGAGCATCACCCCCACCTACCGTAAAGCTCCAGTATATCCATAGTATTTCTCGTGGCTGCTGGCGACGCACTTCTCCGGTGGGATTTCCCCAGAGCCCTGGCACAGCTGGCAGAGGCGAGAGTCAGGAGGAGACCCAGGAGCACAGCCCTCGCTGAAGTATTCATCTGAGGGCAGGAATATGAGAAATTCACTTTCTCTACTCTGAAAAATTGGGGTTTCTTTTTGCAGCACGTTCTGGGCTGCGCTATGTTTGGCAGGAATCTGAGAGCTCAGGGGAAAAAGGGGACCATAGAGAAAGCAGAAAGGAGGTTGGAGAGGCTGTGTAAAATTACTAACACCAGTAGGTCCCTGAGGTTACGTTTCCCATTAATAATTATATGTTTATTTTTCCTTGGTTCATAATTTCACATTATTTATGTTGGACTGTAATTCTCACTGATCGGAAGTTGGACGTAGAAGTTGAGCTGCAGACTTTTCACCCACTGTTCTTAAGGGAGTCATATCAGACCCTTGAAGATTCTTGAACTGAAATCAGCCTCTGTCCCCTACGCCCAGCCCATCAGGGACTCATAAATCCATCCTTCACTCCCATCCTGTGCTTTGCACAAGGAGCAGCCTGTCCTCCTACTTGGGGAATGCTTTTTGGGCTGCCAAAAGGGAAAGGGGAGAGATGTGAAAACAAAGCGAAGCCCCCCCAAAGCAGCTGATGCACTGCATCCTGCTTGCAAGCAGTCACCAACAGCCTGAAACTTTGCTCACTGAAGTCTTAAGTAACAGACTCATTTCATTTTCCATCTCCAAGTGAGAGTCTGTGAGGCATGAGAAGCTTTGAAAATCAGAGGATGAGTGGCAAAAAACTTTTCCTCGTGGATTTCCATCTCAGACAAGCAGATGCATGACCCCGACTCACCAAAATTGCAGCTCCCTGTCCTGTTGTGAATCAAGCCCATGGGGATGTTCCAGCCAGCAGTCCTCCCCACAGCGGTGTGGCACGACTTCTTGCCCTTCAGATTGTTCCAGTTGACATCGCTGCCTTTCTTCACGACAGCCACAGCGAAATATGATGCTTTTGGGAGAAAGATGGAGGAGAATTAAGGCCTGACCCCAGAGTCCCACTGCTCTCTCTTAGCAGAGCGTCGGCAGAGGGCATCTATGTGCAGCATAGCAGAAATATTTTGTGCTTATTAAGGACTAGCCATGCAGCAACAAGAGAATGGTTTGCAGATGTGATACATCTACTCCCACAGCACTCCTGGGAAATCATTATCCCTGTCACTTTTCCCCCACTAAAACTCTGGCACATGGCTCTGCAAGAAGGCTGTAGCAAGATATATATAATGCATGTCTCTCCGATTCACATCCGCCCTTTAGCAAAGGATGAAATCTTCCCTCTTGTTGGCTTTTATTTCTATAAAAAGCAATTCCCTAAGGCTTCAGACCCCCTTTCCCTTTTGCAGCTCATGGCTAAGTCATGGTGTGGCCGTGCTCCAGAGAGCCACAACTCCACACAAATCTCTGCAGCTACTGGATGCTTTGCTTCGATCAGCAGGCCCAGAATTTCCACGCGTGTGTTAAATCTGCCACCCAGATTTTTAACATCAACACTGCACACAGTGGTTCTTACAAGACTCTATGTAGAGTCTTGGCCATGTATTCTCAACCCGTGACTGCAGATGTATTTTTCTACTTCTATCCAAAAGGACTATTTCCTGCTTCTCTGCTGGGACTAATTACCTGGTTGTGCTTCAGCTCTGCCACACTGGCTTCCATCTGTGAGAAGGAAAAAGATGATATTAGACAAAAGAAACATAAAATCCCAGACTGAATCAAGCTCACTGATTCCTCAGCTGGCTTTTAAGGCAGTATCAAGTGCATCAACAGAACCAAAGAGCAGCTGGGATACAACACCAAGGCGGCCTTCTGGATTTCAGAATGAAAGCAGTGCTTTTGCATCAGCCCTGTCCCCTCTGTGGGGCTGCACTCACCATCATAACGTTCTGACATCACTGGCACCAGGCCACAGACACCAGCCGTGTAGACCAGACCTCCATCAAGGGCAACAGCATCTGCTTCACCTTTCTGCAGCAAAAATTGCACAGTGATGAAATGACACTATTTCCCCAAACTGGATCATAAAAGAAGCACGTGGTGGGAGGACAACAAGCTGGGGGCAAGGGACTCGAGAAGCCATTCTTTGCATACAGACAAATGAGTCCTGTCTGATGTGACGACAGGGGAAACTTTGGAGACTTGTCAGGCCCAACCCATCAGACCATATCTGCACTTGGCAGAGACAAGGCATTAGAGCCCTACTGGGCAGCATCAACTGGGAAGGGGACATGCTAACTGCAGGAGATTTCCCTCTTGGGATCCTGCAGCCCTATTTGTTCTTCAGTCAAGGCACAACTGATCCAAGCAAGTCAGTCTAAATAACCTTTCTCAATTAATTATTCTTTTAAAAAACCTTGGCCAATACAACCATTTTGTTTTATTGTGAACTTAATATCTCTTTCTCGCTTTCTTCTTTTTATATTTTAGCATAGTTATCTTCCTTTTCCAAGATAAATGCTGCTTCTCACCAGAAAATTACTTTTTAATGGGAAGAAACCAAAAAAGAACACCTTCAGAAATGTAAATCCCTGAAAAGCTCATCGAGCCCTTTCCCCATGATGAGGTTGGTTTCTGCCTGCTGGTATTTCTCACAGAGTCCCCTACATTTGCAGACTCCTGCCCCACATCTACTCCCAGGCTGAAAAAGGCAATGCCCCTCTCCATCTGAAAGGAACCCAGGCTGAAGGAAGGGAAAAAAGCCATACCATGATCTTAATGATGCAGTCCTTTGTCTCGTCTACCACGGTGCACTCCACGTCCCCGTTGCTCACCACACTCCAGCGGTCACACTTGCTCTTCTCATCCTTGCCTACTGCACACCACTGGATCCTGTTTTCTCTGGGGCTGGGAGTCAGCTGATCTATCAGGTCAATAAGGAAGAAGTAATTAGTCCAGAGCTCTGTGGAACCACAAATCAGGTGGGCTTGGGGTTGAGAAGGGCTCTGCTATGAAATCCTTTGTGCACATGAATGAGAAGACCTGACCTAAGAGTCTCAAGATGAGGAGCAAAGATGGAGAAGCACAACCTACATTTCTGTGAGGCAGTACTTGAATAACCTCTTCTGATGCTACGTGAAGTCCATGCATCTCCTTCCACAAACACCAAAGTGGCTGATCTTATACCAGAGATCTCTGCCAAACTATGAATTTTAAGTGGCTTTTGGAGGTCCTTTGCAGGACCTTCGACTCAGAAAACCAGCTTGGAAATGTGTGGTGAGTCCAGATGGAAGGAAAGCACCCTGCTGCTCTCATATGGTCAATTCTGGGCTTGATGTCTTGGGATGTTCCTTCTGATACTGTATTCTTACGTACCAGAGACAGCTATTCTGAGCAGCAGTTCTGAGCGTACCAATCCCCTTCCACCCACACAAGCCAATGCCTTTCACAGGAAATACTTGATGCAGAATACTCTCCAGACCCAAAAAAAGGCCATTCCCACCTTTCCGCATGCTCTGGATGGCACTGTAGTACTCAAAGCCCAGGTAGAGCTGAGAATCCATCAGCGAGGGGACGCGCTTCAGCATTATGGCAGAGTCTTTGAAAAGCAAGTCTTTGAAGACTGGGTCCTTCTTTCCAGGTGGCCCAAAGAGGTGGAAGTTACTCTTGGTGTCCACGCCAAAGTCAGTCTGACAGGGGAGAAAAAGAATGAGCCAGTAGCATTCCAGAGAAGTTGGAAAGTGGGAAAGAGCAAGCAAAACCACACAGGGCAGAGGAGGGGGGGGGGCAGGGGAAGGATAGCTGAGCTGGAGGATACCTGTGCTTTTGAGAGGAAGTTCCAGATATCTTCAGCCTTGCTGTCATCCCGAGCTACAACGGCATGAGCAGCCACTCTGGCCCAGTTACAGGTCTTGTAATTGTCCACAGGCTGCCGGCTGCCATCCAAGCACAGCAGCTCATACTCATCCTTCTGATCTGGGGCATTTTCTGGAGGGAGGGGAGAACCAACGACTTGCATCTCCACCAAAATACACAAATACACACATAAAAGTCCAGCCTGGGGCAGCATTGTAATGAACTGATTCTTGCTGAAGGTAGGAGAGACAAGCTGCACACTGCTCTGCAATAGCAATAAGTCTCCATGTATGGAGACTGCACAGACTTCTCCAGACTGACGGAGCCCAGAGCATTTGCTGTGGCAATGCTATAGCTATCTCTATAATGTGGCACCAATCGTAACTTTTGAATTTAAATACAGCAGGTTTTCCTTCTGCAAAGAATCCCAAAGAAGAAATGGACCCCACCTCAATTGTGTTTTTTAGTAACACATCCAGTGGGTCAAAGATGAACAGACTGGAGGTTTTGGACAAACTAAGGTTTGCACAATGCAGACTAATGCCAGGATGGAGGGGCAGCAAGAGGTCAGACAGGAAAGAAGAGAAGCCAGTGATTCGCAGGCCCACCTTCAACAGTTGTGTGCTTCACAAAAGCCACGTCTCCTTTTCCATCTTTCAGACAACTGTGGGTGGAGGAAGCAGAAGAGATGTTAAAAAAACAACAACGAACAGACATTGTGGCTTCCTAGCTCCTGTTTTAGCAAATTGCTTCGGCTAGAGCTGCAATCATAGAGCAGTAAGCAGTCTTCCCAAAAAAAGTTATGCTGGCAGAGAAGTATTCCTCAAGAAACACAGTTAGGCTTAGCACAGTGCTAGTGCTGCATGTTCCTGTCTGTGCAAAACAGAACTGCTGAGCTCCCACTCTCATCTTAATGCCTGCCAGTAATTACTAATTGGACTGCTAACAGCAGTCCCAGCTGCTTTCAGCCCCTGGTTACAACACAGCATTGCCTGTCATAATGGAAAAAAAAACAAGTTTACTCACTGGAAAGCTCCAGAATATCCAGAATAAGGTGCATTGCGGGCACACTTGGTTTTGGGGTCCCCTTTGCACTGTCGGCACAGTTTTTGCTCGGTGGTGGCACCAGGCACGCAGCTGGCAGAGAAAAACTTGGCCACCGCTGTGGATGAGAAACACACAATAATCATCTTAAAACTCACATCCACAATGACCTGGGAGGGGAAGACACCCAGGAAATGGCTTGGCTGCTGTGCGAGCTGCCTCTGAACTTCTGCAGAAGATCCAGCAACACTGCTTCCAGCTTACCACCCCCCTAAGTAACATCAGCCCATTTCTCTAGCTTTACCTTGCTCCACTGAGCCTGAGTCTATGCCTTCCCACTCAATGGCCCCGCGGCGGATGAGCGTCCCGATGGGGATGTTCCAGCCTGCAGACCTGCCCAGCCCTGTGTGGCAGGAGGTCTTGCCCTGCAAGTCATTCACCGTGAATTCGGTTCCCTTTTTTACAACAGCCACAGCATAGTAGCTGGTTGTGGAGCCTGCAGTGGAGGAAGAAATGAGAAAACGATGAAAAAGCAAGAATGTAGAACATTTCGAGTCCTGGCAAAGCTCTGGGTTTAGAGAATGAAGAGCTGCACTTCCAAGTAGTGCTCGTGGTCTGCCCATGTTCCCAGCTGCAATGTCAATATGCAACCAGCGCTGCATGTTGCAACATGTAATAAATAGTGACCTGAAAATGCTATTCCATGCAAAATATGCCATGTCACTGCACAGACATTAGACTGTGAGACCTCAACAGTTCTTTTGGCAACTCTTTGGTAGGTCTTGCCTCAAACAGTGCTGCCCACTAAAACAAGCATGCAAGCCTTACAGTGACAGGACAAAGTGGAATGGTGTTAAACTGAGACAGGGGAGGTTTAGGTTGGAGATTAGGAGGAAGTTTTTCACACACAGGGTGATGAGGCACTGGCACAGGCTGCCCAAGGAGGCTGTGGATGCCCCAACCCTGCAGGCATTCAAGGCCAGGCTGGATGTGGCTCTGGGCAGCCTGGGCTGCTGGTTGGTGACCCTGCACACAGCAGGGGGTTGGAACTGGATGAGCATTGTGCTCCTTTGCAACCCAGGCCATTCTATGATTCTCTGATTATGATTCTGTGATTCTAAAGTTTCATATTTAGCCTTTAACATGACACCGACTCTGTCACGTTACACATTAATAAAGTGGCTGAGCTTCAGGAATGGTCAGGAAGGACTCGGTCGCATTGCTTTGATCCCAAACATTGTGTACAAACAGGCTGATCTCCAGAACAGAGGTCAAAAGGGACTGGGGGCCCTAGATATGTGGCATTGCTCAAGGTAATAAGGGCAGAAATGGAGAAATAGTGTCCATCTGGCTCCCAGGAGAAACATCAGAGGGAGGAAGGACACTGTAGGGAGTGGGGAGGAATGGAGAAACAGAGCTTACTCTTATCAGTGGCAGAACTCTATTATGCCTCTCTACATTCTTGCTGTGCATTTCTGCTACCACCATTTAACTTAAAAACGCCTTGGGAAAACCTACCTTCAGTATGTTCGTAAACCTCAGCAGCAATGGGCTTCAGTTTGTATGGGGCAAGGCCTGCCTCAAACACTTGACCGCCATCCAAGCTAATGGCATCTGCCTCGTTATTCTAAACAACAAGAGAGTTCAATCAGTTGGATATTAGGAAAAATTTTAGACAAAGCAGTGAGGTATTGGAACGGGCTACCCAGGTTGGAGTTACCATCCCTGGAGGTGCTGAAGAACCATGGAGATGTAGCAGTGAGGGACGTGGTCAGTGGGCATTATGGGGTGGGCTGGGGTTGGACACGATGACCTTTGAGGTCTTTTCCAATCTTAGTGACACTATGACCCCCATGGATGCGCCCTGCCCTACAGCAGGTGGTGATTGGAGGGAAGCCTCTTCTCCAAGGGATGCTGAAAGCCCCCAAGGCCCAGCTCAGGCTTTGGCAGCCCACTCACCGCAATGGCTTTTATGCAGTCCAGGTACGTTGCTTTCTGCACACAGGTCAATGTAATCCTCTCTTGTTGCGTGAGGTCCTTGAGGTTGTTGCATTTCTTCTCTTCTAGAGAGGATATGGTGCACCATCTGATGGCTGTCTTGGGGGGAGCAGCGAAACACACAGCTGTGGGGAGAACCAGAACAATCAAACAAAAAGAAGGAAATAGAAAACAAATAGTCTCAGAGAGGGAGAAAGGCACCAGGGGAAGACAAACAGCATCTTTGTCTCCTCGCAGTCATGGCCCTGGGTGAACAGCAGGACCTCCCCTGCATACCTCCAAAGGACCCCCCCCTCCAAAGGTCTCCTTTTGGGACCCCCTTGCCCCTGGGTCCCACAGCACTGCAGTCCCAGCAGCCTAAGCTCTCAGCAGCACCCACAGGAGCAGGAGAACAAATCCACACGCTCCAGCAGAAATCAAAGTCAAAGCACGTTGCAAAAGCAGAAAGAAAATGCAGTCCCACTGAAGCAGTCTCTTTGCAGATAGCCCCAGAGGGACAGCAGCTCTGGTCTGGGCAGACTGCATTCACCACACTGCCATGCACATTACCCTGGCAGGTGATGGGATGCATACACTTCTGCACTTCCCATCTCCACCAGCACACCCAATGACAGCAGTACTGTGTCCCCTTCACCCAAACTCTTCTTGTAAGAGTCCTCCCAAGCAGTAATCACTGCTCTGAGAGACTGCATCAGAGCACAGACTTTCACCCTCTTCAGCATTCTAGGCACTAGAAACACAGGAATCTTGCAGATAAAGTGCAAGTAAAGTACAAATAAAATACACAGCAGGTCTCATACCACTATGGGCAGCCTGTGCTTCACGCTTCCCTTTAGCTGTGCACCTACCTGACTGAGCCCCTGGATGCACCCTTTGCCTTCTCTAGAACTCTGATGGCACATTTTGTTCATCCTCTGGTTAAACCATGCTGTCTGCACTTTCCTTTTCACTTCTGAAACATACTCTAATACTGGCTTTTGGAGGCAGAATTCTTCCCACAGACACCTCCCTTCCTCCCACACTGACTGTGGTCACACAGAGGAATTCTAAGCCCTAATTCCCACGGCTGTAAGCTACGGTTTTCATGTTTTGGCTGCACAAAGCTGCCTTAATGTGCTTTGTGAGGCTGCCCTGGGTCCTCCTGGAGCCTGGTTTCACAAGCAGGTGTGGCAGGGGGGGTCCTGTGCTGGTTTCTCCCCCCATGCATGGACGCTTCTTTCATTCCCTGCCGAGCTGCTTCCTTAGAGCTCAGCCCAGCATCCTCATGTGCGGATACCCAGAGCTGCCAACGGAAGCACCTGGCAGGTTCTCAGTACTTTTGCCTGGTCTGGCACACGTTGCAGCTCTGCAGAATAGCTGCTCTGAGGGGAGAGCCTCCTGCAAGGCTGAGACTCTCCATTCCCAACAGCCACTGCTTTACATGGGCACTTACCCACTATCCCCAGGGACAGCACGGTGCAGAGGATGAGCTTCATGCTGGGACAGGGAGCTGGGTGTTGAGGAGGGGGAGCAGCAGTGTTGGTCACAGACCGTCCCCTCTGGGTCTGTGATGGCTCCGGAGCCTCTTTCTTCCCCTTTTATAGAGGAGCAGCCCTGGCAGTGTTTGCAGAAGCAATGACCTAACACTGTTTGTCCTTCCTTGTTTCTCAATAGCTCCCAAGTTGCCCCCCTTCCTGGCTCAGCCCATTTTTAGGAAGCCTTTCACTCTTTGGCACCGAAACCCTTCGCAGTCAGGAGTTGGAGCAGGCAAGGTGCTCTTAGTTTTTACAAGGGGCTTCAAATGGAAAATTCCCAAGTTGTGACATGTGAGTTCCCCAGCAGGCTGCAGTGCTGCGGGAGGGGCTGTTTTCTTTGTCTGGCCACCCCCTGCCTCGCACAGCCTAATTGCAGAAAGTCCCCGCTGAATCCAGCACTGAGCTTCATGTGTTTGCCAGTAACTCTCACTGCTGTGCCCGGCACCCTTTGGCTTCCTCTTTCCCTTTCACTCTCTTGGCAATGGCAGCAAGATCCAAAGGCAGTAACGTCCCTCGCAGATGGGCTGGAGAGCAACTTGTGCAGGCAGAGGAAGCCAGCAGAGCAGCCAGGCAGCACAAGGGCAGCTTGCAGCCAGCAGGAAGCATTGCGCCTCATCTTCTTCAAGTCGTCGTGATGAACCTGGAAGAAGTGCTGAATTCAGAGCCTTCTTCTCATGCAGACCCTCTCCATCTGATTCTACCAGCACACAGAGCTGGGTGCCACTCCGCATTGGAGCAGGGCAGGTGGCTTTGGGGCAGCCGGTCCCAGTATTGGTCATGGCATGGTTCCATGTCCACATCCCTGGGAAGAGGGCCTCTGGTAGACCTTTGTCAATGACCATCCATCACACACTGTGATCGTGCCAGACATGCCACTGTGGCTGCTGGAGGTGCACTGGGGCAGCAGCATCTTTAGCAGTTCCCTCAGTGTGGCTGGTTCCTATTTTGCATCCTTTCATCTCCTTCTTTCCCAGAAGAGCAATGTTTCTCATGTCCAGAGCTCCTCTGAACACAGCACAAGCAGGAGGGGAAATGATTTGTCCCCACAGCGAGGCAGTGCCACTCTTAAACAGCCTTCCTCCCTTTTAAAAACTGGAATCTCCCATCCTTGTTTATTCCATTGAGCTGGAGATCTCGATTCCACAAACCGAGTGGTTACAATACAGGGGAAAGCTCAGAAAACATAAAGGAGCGCTTCAAACAACAGAGGAGAAGTTGCTGGGAAAGCCTGTATTGTTTTGCTTTAAGTTCATGGTTAGGGAACCCACGGGGCACCTCCCAGTCTTTTGGGATCTTCCCTAAGGGACCCAGATGTCTCCAAGGCATCCTTTTCAAGGAGCACTTTCCACCAAAGGATGCAAAGAGCCAAATGCCTTCCCTTCTGCTGCCCTGTCTGAAGTCCACTCTCTCACATAAATATAGGCACACGATTCAACATTCTACTTACATGCATTACTCACTGCCAGTTTGCACAGTTTTGTGCCAAAGGAGGGCTCTTCCCATGTCTCATATTAGGCCTAATAAGCTGAGATTAAACAGCAGAACTGATCCTTATTATTGATGAAAATTCTTGTCTTCCAAGGTAAGGGGTCAGTGCTGAGCTGCATGCAAGCAGGAGCTGCTTGATCAAAGGAGAGCTAAGGCAGTGCTTCTTGGACTCCAGCCTTGTTATTCAGGAAGTATCAGGTCTTCTCCAGGATGTCTTCATGAAACATGCTGGGATATTATTGCCCATCACAAATCCGTTTTGTTGCAACACTGCACATCCTGATGGTTCTGTTTTCAGAAAGAAGATGCTGCTAAAAATTACACGAAGGATGAAGAAATACCAATGAACACACCCTCTGGCCAACTGCAGGCCACTGGCAATACACAAACACGCGTCACCTCCAGGAGAACTGGGCTTGGACCCAAGCTAGGTAACAACGATGGCAAAATAGAAACACTTATTTCTCCATCTCCACGTGGAAAGAATTAATCCCCTGACTCCGTATGGATATGCTGTAGTTTGTGGTTGAAACCCGATTGGAGTTTTGGCTGTGTCCTGAGGAAGAATGCTTGCTGTGATTGGGCTGGGATGAAGCTGGAGCTGGCATGGTGAGATTGGCTGAGGGCAGAGAGCAGCATACGCCAGTGCTTCAGGTTTATCTGTAGCGCTTGGCTTGTTTCCCTCTGGAGATGGGAATATGTAGTTTGTGTCTCAGCCATGGCTGGAACCTGCCCATGACAAAGGTACCAACGTGGTCAGATCCAGCAGCTGGGCTCCAGTTCCAGCCTGTGCTGTCCACAGGTCAAGTCACAGCAGGTAAAGGCCAGGAGGGCAGCTTGATGGGAATGCATTTTTAGAATAGAATAGGATCATTAAGATTGGAAAAGACCTCTAAGGTCCCCAAGCCCAATCACCAACTCATCCCCAGCATGCCCACTGACCACATCCCTCAGTGCCACATCTCCACACTCCTCTCCTCTCCTCTCCTCTCCTCTCCTCTCCTCTCCTCTCCTCTCCTCTCCTCTCCTCTCCTCTCCTCTCCTCTCCTCTCCTCTCCTCTCCTCTCCTCTCCTCTCCTCTCCTCTCCTCTCCTCTCCTTTCCTTTCCTCTCCACTTTCCAGTTCTCCCTCCCTGCTCCCTGCTGGTAGCCCAGGGGGGACAGATGACACAGCCTGGCACACAGCAGGCAACTGCTTGACTCCCAAGTCAGCACAGGGTTCCAGCAGCAGTGCCAGCCCTGCCAGTGTGTCTGTGCCCAGAAGTGACTGAGGTTTCCCAGTGCCTGACAAATGCCCCAAGAACATCCTGCAGTCTTTCCAGAAACATGCTCCCAACACTTCTTTGGACCCAGAGGCCACTTTTGAGGCTGTGTTCCAGCTCCAGAGCCAGTGTGGTTAGTTTATTTTCAGGACGTGCCACGAACCTATTTCCCCACTGATTAGGAGAAATGCTTGGTGTCAGGTTTGGGCTGTGTTGCAATATGCTGTTTTCTACCTGAGATGAGCCAAACTGGCCAGTGGAGAGTGGGAGCAGATGTTGCCTGAATCAATATTTACTTCTAAATATTGCTTAATTTCTAAACCACACACAGCAAACAAAGAGCTCTCTGTCCACTTTAAGCAGCTCTTTGTGGCTCAGAGCACTAAGCCTAGCCGCAGGCTGTAGCCTCTTGCCCAGAGCTGCTTATCGTGTCATACCAGTACAGGTTTGCATTTCTGGCTAGGTGCTAATGCTGGCCTGACCAGGAGGTACCAGCAGCTCAACGCTTCCTACCTTGCACAGTATCTCTGCAGGACAGTGCCACAGCCCCATGACCCTAACCCTAACCCTGTGCATGCTCTCCTTCCAGCAAATGCCCAGCATTGACGAGAAAAAGGTTTTCCTGGTGGAGAAGCTGCCTCCTCTCAACCGAACCTCCAGCAATCCCCCAGCCCCACTGCTGAGCTCAGCAGTGATTTGTGCTCTCTTAGCCCCTCAGCTATGTAATTAGTGACATTCCTTCTAATGAAGGATTCCGGTTTGCTTGATTAACCCAAAGGTTAACAGGGTTACCAGCAGCTCCATGCAGCCCTGGGAGCTGTGATGTTCATGGTGAGCTTTGGGAAAGGAACACAGGAAGGCACGGTGGGCTGATTCCTGCTGGAATCATGGAGCTGTTGGAGCTCTTTTCATGCCTGCTTCCTGGGTATTTCCTAAAGATTGGTGGGAACAAACCAGCAAATATTGATAATCAGGAAAGAAAGGACTATCAATATCAGTAAATACTACCAACATATGCCTGTGGGGAGATACTGGGCCATCCTGGAGGAGCAGAACATAAGAGAAGGAGGCACAAAATGGCTGTGGTTGGGTCCTTCTGGCCCAATCCCTGCTCCAGCAGGGCCATCTGGCTCAGAGTGCCCAACACCACCTTGTTTCCAGTGGAGAAGGGAGCTGGGGCTCACAAGGACATCTAGGTGCTGGGCAGAAGGAGCAGGAGCACAGACTTTCCCCAACGGTGACAGATCCCAGGCCACTGGCAGCATCCGTGCAGGAAGGGGACAGGAGGGAGATGGTGGCAGAGTGGATCATAAGACATCGCAGCCATTCTCAGGTGCAGCCAGATCTGAGCCACATCCATTGCACCTATACAAGGAGACACTCAGCTACGTCCTCTGCTTTGGGAGCTCCTTCAGCTGCTGTTTGGACATCCAGGGGCTGGCAGTGCTCAGCGCTGCTGGATTGGGCCCATGGAGCAGGGGCTGAGCCTCTTATCGCCCTGCACAGCCCATGGGCAGCCCAGCTGGGCTGGCACAGCCTCCACCAGCCATTGTGTTCAGCTGCAAGATGGCTCTGCAGCCAGAAATGAGGTTTGGGCATCAAGTGAGCGGGAAAGGGGTCAGGTCACCAATAGGTCAACGTGAACTCTACCATTTGCTGTTCAGCCCCTTTCCAGTTAGCTTATTCACGGTAATCATTAATACCAAACACCTATCCTCATGCAGAGCCTCACAATGGCTCATTTTTAACCTGTCACCACCACCACACGTTATTACACGTGTCCTGGCCAAAGCCACCTTCCTTGGCAGCAGTAAATGCTCTTATGGCAGTCCCATCTCCTGGCTGATCAGCAGTGATTTTGTAACCAACAGAACATACGTTGCCCAGCATTCCCTTCCATTTTGTCATTCTGAATCAGCATTGAAGGGAGTTAATGGAAACTGGGCTTCAGAATAACAGCGAGGCTTAGTCTTTATTGGAGACCTTTCGACCTCTAGTTAAATTAATTTTTCTCTCTGTTTGAGGTTCTTGAACATGGCAAGGGCAATCCAACAGCCATGAGCCATGCAAACACCACATCCTTCTGAGCAAAATGTGACACCAGTGGTTAAATATTGGCAGCACAGTGTTCTTCTGGAAAAAACAATGCAAAGAAGTTGAGGAATGACCTTCGTTAATTCATTAACTACCGAGAGTCATTTTCTAGGTGCTCTAGATATGAAGTAGAAAGAGATTTCCTGGAAATCCTTAACTGGATTCTACCAATCTCTGCATCATGTAACCTGCAAGTCCACCTACAGTGTTC